TCAAAGCCAGCCTCAGCAAAAAGTGAGGTGCTAAGCAACTCAGTGAGACCCTGTTTCTAAATACAAAATAGGGCTGGGGATGTAACTCAGTAGTTTGAGTGTCCCTGAGTTCAATCCTCAGTACCCTCCCCCCAAAAAAATATGATCTATGTAGTGATTTATTATGAGCCAGGCCCTGTTGTGCGTGCTTTACAAATATTACCTCATTTAATCCTTAAATCCCCATGAGGTAGATAAAATTATCTTCATTTTATAGATGAGGAAATGGAGACAAGGTATGATTAAGAGATTTTTCCTGAAGTCACCCAGCTGGTGAGTAACAAAACCAGGATTTGAACCAGGCAAGGTGGTTACCTTTTCCATGCTTCTCACCTCTGTTCTGCTTTTGCCATTACTTGACACTTTACACCCTTCATTCCTGACCAGCATGTGGTGGTTGGAATTCATGGGAGCTTAGCAGGGCTGTGTTTATGGAGATCTTCAGAGGCATATGAAAGGTAAATGTAAGGATATTAGGAACAAAGAGTAGGAAAATTTAGGAGTGAGAATGGGTAGCCTCTGAAATAAACAAGGAAAACCAGCTCTGCCTGCTTAAGCAGGAAATACCTAGTCCTCAAGCCTGCCTAGCTTCATGCCATCTGGCATCCTCAGGGGCAGATGATACTCCTCAAGGTTGTTGATGAAGCTGCCCCTTGAGTCAGTGGAAGTAAAACAGAGATTATTAATTTTGAAGCCGGGGCATGGTGGGGCATGCCTGTAATCCCAGCATCTCAGGAGGCTGAGACAGGAGGATCTCAAGATCAAAGTCAGCATTAGCAACAGTGAAATGCTAAGTAACTCAGTGAGACCCTGATTCTAAAATACAAAAATTGGACTGGGGATGTGGCTTAGTGGTTGAGTGCCTCTGAGTTCAATCTCTGGTACCACCCCCCAAAAAAAAAAATTCTGATCCATCTGTCATTTTCCACCACTGATGCTTCAATATGTATATACCCAAATGTAACTAGAGTGAGAAGGAATGTCCTCTGAGAAAGGAGGAAGTGTGTCCTGGGCATGAATTTAGAGAGCACATGGACAAGACAAGTATGGTGACCCACACTGAAATCCTAGGCACTCAGGAGGCTGAGGCAGGAGGATCACAAGTTCAAGGCCAGACTGGGCTACTTAGTGAGACCCTGTCTCACAAATAAAAAGGGCTGGGGATGTAGCTCAGTGTTAGAGTGCCTTTGGGTTCATTCGCCAGTACTGCAAAAAAAAAAAAAAAAAAAAAGGAAAGAAGAGTGGCTGAGAGACTACAGATATTATTTACCATCAGAAAGAAAGAGGATAGTTAAGACTCCAATCAGAGTGGACACAAGCAATCACAAAACTGGCAGATGGATCTGGAGTTAAAGGCAACCTAAATCATGCTTATTTCAATGGTTCACAAAGGCACAAATGTGCCACAGGAAGAATCAAGCAGTAAATGATGCTGCACTGGACTATACTGTCAAACTAACTCTTAATGCAGGCATGTAATTGTATCTAGGGTAGATACAACAGAGATGCAAAAACATACATACAGGCTTGTATACCCTCTCTTCACTCCTTTTGTTCATATTTGATCACATAGGCTTTATGGAGCTTGTAGAACAATAAAAGCAGAGATGCCCAATAGCAGTTTATGTAGGTGTAAAGCTCTGGAGATGAAGCTAGGCTTGTGCTGCCAACCTGAAAGTCACTGGTATACAGAGGAAAGCCTTGGAAAGGGAGAAAGACAGGAGAAGGGGTCTAAAGACTGCATCTGGAGGCCAGACGTGGTAGTGCTCACCTGTAATCTCAGTGGCTTTGGAAATTGAGACAGAAGGATCACGAGTTCAAAGCCAGCCTCAGCAAAAGTGAGGTGCTAAGCAACTCAGTGAGACCCTGTCTCTAAGTAAAATACAAAATAGGGCTGGGGATGTGGCTCAGTGGTTGAGTACCCCTGAATTCAATCCCTGGTACCTCCCCCACAAAAAAAGACCTATATCCAGGAGAGGATGAGTGCAGCAGAACCTCAGGAAGCATTTAAGAAGGTTGGGCAAGAGCTGAGGGAACTGAAAGTGTCACTGAGTAATGGCCAGGGAGATGAGGATGTCGGGAGTAGGGAAGGAGGAAATGTGTGTATCCCTAGTGCTCATGAATGGGAATGGAACAATTGACTGTGATGCATTTATAGCAGGGATGCCATGTCTCTGTTAAACTGACAAATAGAGTGTGACCTGTGAGAGATGCAAGTCAAGCAATGTTATATACATACAAGTACATCAATAATTTCCAACATGTGGGTATAATTTTAAATATTGTGAGACTATAGTTAGCAAGATCAGAAGTAGTAAGATTTTTAAAAGATAATCAGTAATATGGGATTATCAGATATTTATAAAGTTATTTTTAAATGTTAAAAATATGTAGGAAGGAAATGTAAAAGTTAAAATAGTAATACTGTTAATCAGAGACTTTCCCTCTTAATGGAAAATTAGTCTTTTTAATCATAATAAAGGGAGGAGTAAAAAGGTTCAGAAAACATAGAACTCAGGACATTTTGTAATAGTTCTAAATGCAGATACGATTTCTTTTGGGTTAAATATAGCTCACCCAGGCACTGTTGGCACACGCCTGTAATCCTAGCAACTTGGGGGGCCTGAGGGAGGAGGATCGCATGTTCAAAGCCAGCCTCAGCAAAAGCAAGGCACCAAGTTGGGGCTAGGGTTGTAGCTCAGTGGCAGAGCACTTGCCTCTCATGTGTGAGGCATTGGGTTTGATCCTCAGTCCCACATAAAAATAAATAAATAAAGGTATTGTGTCCAACTATAGCTAGAAAATAAATGTTAAAAAAATATATAGGAGGAAAAAAAAAAAGCAAGGTGCTAAGCAACCCGGTGAGACCCTGTCTCTAAATAAAATTCAAAATAGGTCTTGGGGGGGCTGGGGATATGGCTCAAGCGGTAGCGAGCTCTCCTGGCATGCGTGCGGCCCAGGTTCGATCCTCAGCACCACATACAAACAAAGATGTTGTGTCCGCCAATAACTAAAAAATAAATATTAAAATTCTCTTTCTTTAAAAAAAAAAATAGGGCTGGGGATGTGACTCAGTGGTCGAGTGCCCCGCCCCACACCCTAAATAAATAAATAAATCTCAGAGGTTCTCAGGTCTGGCTGCACATGAGGATCACCTGAGGATCTTTAAAAGAAATTGATGGTGGCCAGACCCATTGGCATGGGCCAATAGTCCCAACCTCTCAGATGGCTGAAGCAGGAGGGTCACTTGAACCCAGGAGTTCAAGGTTGGCCTGGAAAAAATGGTGAGGTCTTATCTCTTAAAGAGATGAGACTGGGGTTGATCTCAGGGGTACTTTGTAACACTGAGTCCCACCTCCCTGTTCCTTTTTATTTTTTGAGACAGGTCTTGCTAAGTTGCTGAGATTGGCTTAGAACTTGTGATACTCCTTTCTTTAGCCTCTAGGATTACAGCTGTGCCAAGCATAAATAAAAAATTTAAAAAGAAAATGATGGTTACCTCACACCTATCAGTATGAGTATTATCAAAAGATACCAGAAAATAACAAGTGTTGAGAGAAAGTGGGGAAATTATAACCCTTATGCACTGTCGATGGAAATGTAAAATGGTGTAGCTATTAGGGAAAACAGTATGGCACTTCTTCAACAAATTAAAAACCAGAATTGCCATATGATTAAGCAATTCCACTTCTGGGAATATACCCAAAACAACTGAAAGCAGGGCACAAAGAGATGCATAGACATACACATAGGTTCATAGCAACATTATTCACAGTATCCAAAATTGAAAGCAACCTGACAGTAGAATGGATAAATAAAATATTGGATATACATACATACAATGGAATATAATTCATCCTTCAGAAGGAAATTCTACTGGGCATTGTGGCACATACCTGTAATCCCAGTGAATTGGGAGGAGCAGGAGGCAGAAGGATTGTAAATTCAAATCCAGTCTGGGGAATGTGGCAAAGCACCCCTGAGTTCAATCCCTAGTATTACAACAACATCCCTCCAAAAAAAGAAGAGAAAGAAGAAAAACTGCACAATAAGTAAGATATAGTCAGGTAGAAAATTTGGTCCAGTTTAAAAAAAATAAGATGGTGAAAACCATCCACATCCTGTCAACCTGAGAATACTTATTATTAAATTCAAATGTAGTCAGAAGAGGTGGCATATTCCTGTAATCCTGGTGACTCAGGAGGCTGAGATAGGAAGATCCCAAGTTCAAGACAGCTTCAGCAATTTAGCAAGGCCCTAAGCAATTTCTCAAGATATTATTTCAAAATAAAAAGGGCTGGGGATGTGGCAAGTTTCAAAACAGGGATTTTGAACTCTGCTTTTACCCACTTTTCATATTTTTATCTTTTCTGAGCTGCAGTAGATAGTTTTTAGGTGGGAGGGGGTGAATACTGGGATTAAACTCATTAGCTTTACCAATGAGCTACATCCCAAGCCCTTTTCATTTTTTTATTTTTTGTTTTGAGGCAGGGTCTCATGAAGTTGCCAAAGCTGACCTTGAATTTGCAGTCCTCCAGCCTCAGCCTCCTGAGTCTCTGGGATTATAGTGTGTGCCATGGTGCCCAGCAGTATATGGATATTACTGGTTTCCTTCAGTCTCCGTGGAGGGAGATTCTGTAGCTTTTCATTGAAGGCAGTACTTTATTTGTTTTTAGTTTGTTTTGTTTGTTTAGTACTAGGGATTGAACCCAGGGGCACTTAACATCCCCAGCCTTTATATATTTCATTTAGAGACAGGGTCTTGTTAGATTGCTGAGGTTGGCTTTGAACTCATGCTCCTCTTGCCTAAGCCTCTCAAGTTGCTAAGATTACAGGCATGCACCACCACACCCAGCTCGTGTGCTTTTCAGGCAAAGAATTTATTGCTTCCAAATAAGCCAAGAAAATAGTCTCCTCTGAGTTTCCTTCATTTCTAACCAGTGTATTCCTTGCCATTCTAGGAGCCATGTTTGACCAGGACTGTGGGAAGGTCAGCTCCATGCTGGAGACTCTGGTGAGGAGATGAACTGGTGAGCAGAGGTTGGGATGAAGATGCTGCCAGGAGTGGGAGTGTTTGGGACTGGCAGCTCAGCCCGGGTCCTGGTCCCACTGCTGAGGGCAGAAGGGTTCACAGTGGAGGCCCTGTGGGGGAAGACTGAGGAAGAGGCAAAGCAGCTTGCTGAGGAGATGAACATCACCTTCTACACCAGCCGGACTGATGATGTTTTGCTGCATCAAGATGTGGACCTGGTGTGCATCAATATCCCCCCTCCACTCACCCGACAGATATCTGTGAAGGCTCTAGGTATGCACTGTCAGACTCTGGCAGTTGTAGCTTGTATCTGTCTTTGGGCAGTTCTCTGAGGCTTTCTACTTTTCCCTGGGCCTGGGTATTTTTTCTTGGCCCTGTGTTTGCAGATAGTGGTACTCTAGGACATAGGAGTCCTAGACCTCTGGAGTAGGGCATATTGAAGGGCCTTACAGTTCTAAGAGGAAAATGACTCAGCTTTCTTCCCATTAGTAAATCCCTGAGCAAAACTAAAGCTGAAGATGATTATACTTCAGGCAATGAGAAATCTACCTCTGGGAAGTCAGCATTCTTTAGGCACTGGGACTGGGGAATTGGTTGTGATTTGTGTGATTGTTCTTCCATGCTGTGCCATGTAGCACCACAGGAAGTGAGGGATGCTATCTAGCAAGGCTACTGTTTCCCATGTTTTATCAGCCCTTGGTAGTGAGCACACGCCCTTCCTGCCAAACTACAATCTTATATTGCCTGATGGCAGGAAGGCTTTCTAACAGCACAGGCTTTCCTGGCAGGATCTAAGGGATGATCTGCTCACATCTCCACTCCCTCAGGGAGCTCTGGGCTCCGTGACCTCCTGCCCCTGACTGGGCATGGCCTGCTGAGCTGTTCTGCAGGTCCTGTTGGGCCCTCTTTCTGTCAACTACAGACAAATTCTTCTCTTAATCTTTTTTTAAAAATTTATTTAATTTATATATATTTTTTAAGTTGTAGTTGGTTGGACACGATACCTTTATTTTATTTATTTTTTTTTGATGCTGAGGATTGAATCCAGGGCCTTGCACATGCTAGGTGAGTACTCTACCACTGAGCCACAACCCCAGCCCCTTCTCTTAATCTTATATAAATTAGAGTTTAATTTAGTAGGAAAACAAACCAATAAACATCTAACAATTATTTGTTTAATACTTCCTGTGTGCCAGACAGTGTCCTGATGTCATTCCACAATGCGTTGGAACTTCCCTTCCTTTAGATTTCATAGTCCAATTGAGATTGGAAATAAGACACATTATAAGGTAAATAACAGAAGACTTAAGTAATAACTAAAGTAGCATAAAGTTGACAGAGTAATTGTTTTAGGTAATGCAATAGGAGCCAAGTGTCCCTGATGTAGTGGGTTAAAGATCTCTGAGTCAAGGAATTGTTATGCCCTGAGGTTGATGACCACTCATCCTGGCACTGCCTTGGCAGAGGACCCAAGACTCTACTACTTACTTCTACTTTGTTCTGAAGAACATCATAAGAGAGTGTCTCTCACTTGGGGTCCAGTGAGTTGGAAAGAATAATTTGGTGAAATAAGCAAGAACTTGAATCCATCAGGTAGTCAATTTGGAACATGTAAGTTTGGGCCAAAAATTCTAGAGGGTTTGTCTTTTCTAGAGCACTTCTTCTAAGGATGTGTGACATTGGAGCTTATTGATTGGTCACTGATTCTTGGGAGGGCAGATGATGGTTCTCAAATTGAATTTAGAAGGTTTTAGCAATGTATTGTTTCAAGGAGAATCATATTTGGTCATTTGATTTCTTGTGTCCCTGGTGGCATGCATGTAGGCAAGGTATGTCCATACACAGAATTCTGGAGGCTCAGTCATCTTCCTGAATTTTAGAGTTTCAACAAATATGGTTTCTAAGCTATGCAGGAGAAAGAAGAAACTTTGGGGAGCTGTGATTGTGGCTTAGTGGTAGAGCACTTGCCTTGTGAATGTGAGGCACTGGGTTCGATATTCAGCACCACATACAAAATAAAATAAAATGGAAGTATTATGTCTACCTATAACTAAAAAAAAATTTTTAAAAGAAAAAAGAAGAAGCTTTGGGGGTTTTTGGCAGCAACCTTGTTATTTTCCTGGAATGGGGAAATGGAGGGTTGTGAGCCATTTCCTGTAAACAGGAAGAAGCGGGGAATGACCAGAGGCTCCTGGGATCTTGTGCCCCAGCCCTCGGTGAAGCAGGGCTGTTAATCTTCTCTTTATGCACCTGCTGTAAGGAGGAAGAGAGTGGCTATGAGGATCCTTGATCTGTTCTTGCAAATTCAAGACCCAGGGCCAGGAGAGATGGTGTCAGTTAGACCAACATCCCTCGGGCCCTGCCCACTTGAGTTCCAAAGGAATCAGTAGAGTTTATGATGACCATGAAGTTCACTCCTATGTACCTTCTTTTTATGGAGAAAGACAGAACTCCTATAATTTTCCCTAGGCCGTGGGTGTGAGTGGTAATCTGTTGTAGGCAGAGCTCCATAATGACACTGGTATCAAGCCCCATTTATGGTCCCATTTCTGGCTCTCACAGTATTTGTGGGCCCCCCTGAAATGAGAGGTGTCAGTTCCTGCCCCAGTTAGCCTTTTCAGAATGATAAAATAACTGCCTTCCAAGTGCTGACTGGGAAAGTCACTGGGGTCCCATTGCAAGGAAGGCTTGGCTTTCCTGTTGTCCCAAGCGGAAGAGCAGATGTGTCCAAGTTTGTTTAAAAAAAAAAAGTAAGATTCTTCTCTGGATGGTCAGTCTACTGAATTGAATATAGCCTAGATAGAAATGCAGCTAAGCATTCCAGTTCATCTCCAAGATGAGATGCTTTTCTGCAGATTGTTATATTAATGACTTAAAAGAGGACAACCTATTCTTTTCACCCATAAAACTGTAAAGTATCTGGTTCTACGCTGTTCAGATGGAGGATAGGACATCTGAAAATACAGCATATTTAAAATTTCTCATTCATGTCCCAAAAGACCCTTAATGGCACCCAGCTGTGCAAACCTGCATATCCATATATGAGTAGCTTTATATATGTGAGAGAGTATGTCATCGTCCCATAGAAATCTTTTTTTCTTCCTGTTATTGGGGCTCACTTGTGGGGGCCCACATTGAGTTACCAAGCCTTCCAGTCCTGATGCACCATGGGGATTCAAATCACTGTAGACTGATACGATTATGCCATGACTCATGACTTGGTCTTTTCCCCCCTCTCGGATAGCAAGGCCAGTCTTCTGAATAGGCATACCCCTGGGGTTGAGCTACATTCACCTCTTCTTTTGTAATCCTATCCCTTTGCCCTGTTTGGGATAGAATGTTCCATGGAAACTCCCTTTGTGTGTCCCCATCTCTTGCTCTACCTGTGGGTGGCCTTTCTAGATGTCAGTCAACCTGCTGACACAGACATCATGAAGCAAGGCTCAACCCCCTGAAACCTGACCCCTTGCCTCATTTGAATGGCTTCTCCCCAATAAAAGGGTTCAGCATGTATGCTCTTTCCTGGACCCCTAAGATCAGAGGAGCCGTAACAGGACCCAAAGAAAAAGGTATTTCTGTCTCTTGTGTGATTATTTCATGCAGCCCAGTTCACCTGGATTGACCCTGAGTGTTTTAGTCGTGAGAAAGGAAACACTCACTTGTTTCTTTCTGTCTTTTAAATTAAGGATATAAGCTTTAGACCTGCAGTCTTTTTTTTTTCCCCCTTGTAGTACCAGGAATTGAACCCAGGCCCTTGCATATGCTAGACAAGTACTCTATCACAGAGCTATATCCCCAACCTGACCTGCAGTCTTTTTATTTCATTTCCCCCACCAGGGCCTTTCATGTGCCAGGCACTTTGCCACTGAACTAAATCCTTAGCCCTTCCTATAATCTTTTTCTAAAGACATAATCGATTAACTGTAGCTTACTGAAGTATTCTAATTTTAGGCCAACTCTTCCAGACCTGAAGCCTGTGAGAAGTTTATCACAATTATCTAAAATTATGTTTTATTAAACATCCTTCTTGAGTGAGGAATATGGCTCTATGGTAGAATAATTACCTAACATGTGCATGGCCCTGTTTTTGATCCCCAGCACTGAAAAAAAAAAAAATCCTTCTTGCATTGTGCTACAAAGTATTAAGCATTGAAAAAGCCATAGTGCTGGGCACAATGGAGCCCGCCTGTAATTCCAGTGGTTTGGGAGGCTGAGGCAGGAGGATCTCAGATTCAAAGCCAGCCTCAGCAAAAGCAAGGTGCTAAGCAACTCTAAATAAAATACAAAATAAGTCTGGGGATTGCTCAGTGGTCGAGTGCCCCTGAGTTCAATCCCCAGAACACCCCCCCTCCAAAAAAAAAGCCAAAGAGATTGAAAAGCAGTAATGTGAGGCATAAAACACTGATGCAGATTTAACATATGGAAGGACATATGAGACAACTACTTGTTCTCAGACTTTTCATAACAATCAGTAAGTAATACTGTATTTTCCTTTGGCTTTCTAAGACATAGAAACACGGAAAAAGTCAAGCCCGCAGGCACTCTGGAGAGTATCTAGTCCAGCAGTTCTTGGACATGGCCACTGCACTGTGGCAGCAGCAGCAGCATTTGGGAGCTTTTTAGAACTCTAAATTCTCAGGCCTTGGCTTTCATTGAGGTAGACCCAGTACTCTGAGTAAGCCTCATAGGTGATTCATAGGTAATTCTGACATATACCTAAGGATGGAGGGTCACGTATCCACATGGTGTCTTCATTTTCAATTAAACAAATAGGCCTACTGGGGCTGAGGGTTTAGCTCAGTGGTAGAGCACTTGCCTATTATGTATGAGGTCCTGGGTTAAATCCCCATATGGAAAAAAAGGAGTTAAAAATAAGAGAAATAAAATAAACTGAAGCTTAGGGATGTTGAGGAACAATATCTTGGCTACATCTCACAAAACCTTAGGCTATAGGCAAAATTACATAAAACCAGTCTACTGGTTTTCAGAATTTATTTATTTATTTTTAAAATATTTATTTTTTAGTTTTAGGTGAACACAATATCTTTATTTTATTTTTATGTGTTGCTGAGAATCGAACCCAGTGTCTCACATATGCTAGGCGAGTGCGCTACCAGTTGAGCCACATCCCCAGCCCTCTTTTTTTTTTTAATATTTATTTTTTTAGTTGTATTTGAACACAATGCCTTTATTTATTATTATGTATTATATTTTATTATATATTATTATATTTTTATTATGTTTTATTATATTTTATTATTTGTTTTATTATG